GAAAAAAGGGAGGCCTGCTAAACCCTCAGATCACCCAGTCCTCAGACAAAAGAACTTAAGGGTTAGAGGCTTTTACCCAGCTCCACCACCCTCTGCTATTCCTCTTTTTAATCATTTCCTGAGTCATTTCTGTATTGGTTAATCCCCCTTCACTGTTGTTATCAGCCAGTGACCTCATCTCTTACCTTGTGATAAAAATAGTAGATGTTCAGCAAGAATTCACTGTGCTCCCTGCCTGGAAACTTAGACTGATTTGCAGTCACACTCAGCTTTTCCTCCTTTTCTGCTGTTGCACTCTGCTTTCATGCTTCCCTGTATGTTTCAAGTGTTGTCCGCTCAGCAAATAACACTTGTCATAATGGAAGTACAAAATATTCACCACCATGGCCAAATCCAACTGTGAAATCATCGTGAATGAAATCTTGTGAAAATGTAAATTTAACCTCCTAAAATCTTCGGAATAAAATTACTAAAGTCAGTAATGCAAAGACCTAAACAATCTGAAAATTCAGATAAATTGCTAGTGTTGTAATAGCTGACAGAATAATTGAGTAAGGAATGGGTGTCATAACTGTAGTATTAAAATAGTATACTGTTTAGAATTCGAATCATTTACAATCTTGATTCTTTATTTGAAGAAGCATATTTTTTTCAAGCTAACAGATTACTGAAGAAACCATGATCTTTGCATTTTGCCAAACTGTGTGCATGATACAGTGACCGAGTTGCGAGTCTTAACCTTCATCTTCACCCTCTCTGTTTCATGCCCACACACCAAGAGGTATTTCATAAACACAGCATGAATGATGTCATTCCATATTCAAATCCTTGTTCCTTAACTTGGTCCTTCATGAACTACTGTATGATTTTCTGAGTCTCCTCTTCTGTTTGTACCTTGTGGTGGAACCACAACAAGCTATTTGATTCTTCGGATGAGCTTAGTTCTTGTCTCTTTCTGTACCTCTGTTGTTTTGCACCTGCTGTTCATTCTGCCTAATTTTAATTTTTAATGACTATTTTAATGGCAACTTCTACTTTTCTGTGATTTGAAACTAATTTCTAGCATTGATACACCTGGGAAATTTTCTTCTACTTTCTCTTTCCTAACGGTCTGTCCCACCTCAGTGCCTACCCTCGACATAGCAGTTGACTTGTAGAATTATAGTTGTCTCTTTAGATGTCTGTCGTCTGTCTCCCACTACACCTATTGTCACCCTGCTTACTAGACTAGGATGCTTATTTTCAACCATGGTGTCTAGCAGAGTGCCAGAAGTGGCGTAGGTGCTAAGTGAAGGTTTAATAGGAATTTTCCTTCCATTAGGAGCCTCCAGCTTCTTTTAATTCATAAGAATTATTTGTAATGTCTGCATTTTGCTAGTTACCTGATAACCAAAGTCATCTCAAAATATTTGTTTATTTGTTTTCTGACAGCTTTCTCTTCCTTGATTGACTATTGGAAGATCATAGTCAAATTAGTAATCTACCTTCAGCTACTATGAAGAATACTTTGACTTGCAAATTATGTTATAATAGTATTTGTGACTTTTATTATCCTCTGCCCTCGTTTAATGACTATCACTTAATATTATGCATTGTCATCAAAATGCCTAACATATAGCTCTTTGACAAATAGTTGCTCTTTTCTAAATGTTTTTTAAATATTAGTGATTATATATAAATTATGTCTTACTCCTACAAAGACAGTACTGTCCCTTCATGTTAACATTTGTTTTACAAAGTTGAAAGCTTTATAGTACCACACTATTTTGATTACTGTAGCTTTATAGTAAATTTTGACCTGGGAAGACTTATGGTCTATCCTGAAGAATGTTCCACGTGCCGTGGAATTAGTATTCTGTTCTTTTTGAGTAGATTTCTCTATAGATGTCTGTTAGAAAAAAAAAATTTTTTTTTTTTGGCCTCAATTTTCTTTTATTTTTTGGCCTTCTTTCTAGGTATTTACTTATTACTGAACAATTGTTGATGAAGTACTCAACTATTATTGTTGAATTATGTTTCTCCCTTTAATTCTGGTAGTTTTTGCTTCATGTATTTTGAAGCTCTTGTTACATATATTTATATATGTGCATGTATATGCATATATATTTATATATATATATGCATAATTGTTTATAATGATTTTACCTTCTTGATGAATTGATCTTTTTATCATTTTTAAAATGTCATTTTTCTCTAATATCAATTTTTGTCTTAAAGTTGCTTTTGTCTAATGTTAGTATTATAGTCACTTTAATACTCTTTTAGTTACTGTTTTCATGGTGTATCTTCTTCCATACTTTTCTTTTAAACCTGTTTTTGTCTTTGAACCTAAAGTTTTTCTCTTGTAAACAGCATGTGGTTGGATCATTTTTCCCATGATGCTAATTTCTGTTTTGTAATAGGTGTGCTTAATCAACTTATACTTAGCGTAATTACCGATAAGGTAGGATTTATACCTGCCTTTTTGCCATTTGTTTTCTACATATTTTTTGTCTTTTTTGTACCTTACTTGCTGCTTTTGTGTTAAATGTTTTCTTTCTTTTTTTAACTGCACTACTTTGTTGTTTCTTTTTCTACATTTTTATGTTTAAATTATTTGCATTTTTCTCAGAATGAAACCAACACAAAACTTTGCTCTTTAATAGCTCCATTCTCTCCACTCATTTTTGTCTTATTACTGCAAATTACTCATGCAAATTACATCTTTATACATTGTATACCCATCAACATGGATTTATAGTTCTTGTATGCATTTGTCTTTTAAATTGGATACAAGGAAAAGAGTTACAAATAAAAAAATATGTTTATACTATCTTTTATGTTTACCTAAGGATTTACCAATGTTCTTTGTTTTTTTCATGTGGATTCAAATGACCTTTTTTTAAAAAATTTCTCTTTCATTTTTGGAAGATAGTTTTGCTGGATAGAGAAATTCTAGTTGACAGTCTTTTTTTTTTACTTCTTTAAAAACTTATTAATATGGCTTCCCATTGTCTTCTGGCCTTTATGGTTTGTGTTAGAAATCACCTGCTAATATTATAAAAATGTCTTACATGTGATAATTTGCTTCTCTCTTGCTGCTTTCAAGATTTTCTCTTTATCTTTGTCTTTCAACAGTTTGACGATAACCATGTCTACGTTTACGTCCCTGCATTTATCCTTTTTGGTGATTATTGAGCTTCTTGGATGTGTAGATTATAGTTTTTCATCGTATTTTGGAAGTTTTCGGCCATTGTTTCTCAAAATGCTCTCTCTGCTCCTTTCTCTGTTTTCCTTTGGGTCTGTCGGTATGTATATGTTGATATGTTTGATGCTGTCCCACAGGTCTCTGATACTGTGCTCATTCATCTTTTTTTCTCTTCTTCAGACTGGATTTTCTCAACTCATCCATCTTCAAGTTGACTAACTTTTTTCTTCATCCCCTTACATCTGCTGATAAGCTTCTTGAATGAATATTTTACTTTAGTTTTTGTACTTTGCATCTTAAGAATTTATTTTGATTCTTTTTAATGTTTTCTGTATCTATATTAATATTTGTTTGATGAGACACTTTTCTTACACTTTAGTTGGTTAGAAAGGGTATTATTTAATTCCTTGACCACACAGCTATACCCTGTATATACCAAAATCCACCCATACTCAAGTTCCATAATCAGCCCTGCAGAACACACATGCTTGAAAAGTTGGTTCTCCATATATATGAGTTTCACATTCTATGAATACTGTATTTTCAATTCATATTTGGTTGAAAAAAATCTGCACATAAGTGAACCCACACAGTTCAAATATGCGTTGTTCAAGTGCCAACTATATTGAAAATAACCAAATTAAAGTCTTTGTCTAAAAGTCCAATGTCTCAGCTTCCTCAGGGACTGTTTTTATTGACTGCTTTTTTTTTCTTCTGTAGGGTCATCCTTTTGTGGGGTTTTTTGCATGTCTCAAATTTTTTGTTGTTGTTGTTTCAAACTGAACGTTTAATGTGTAAACTCTGGAAATCAAATTTTTCCAGTGTTTCCTATTTGTTTTTATTTGTTTAGTGACTTTTCTAAACTAATGTTATAAAGTCTGTATTTTTTGTGTGTTGCTATTGAAGTCTCCTCGGTGTTAGTTTAGTAGTCAGCTAATGATTGGGCAGAGATTTTAGTAAATGCCTGGAAGCTTTCTAATCTTTGCCAAGGCCCTCTGGGTGCATATTGTGACTCATGCTTCACCTGAAGATCAGCCAGAAGAGAGAGCTCAGTGCCCTCTCAGGTCTTTTCTGGGCAGGAATGTGGCACTATGCATTGTCCCAGCCTTCCAGATTGTCAGGAATAATTCAGAGCTTTCCAAGGTCTGTTTTGGACACCTCATTCCCCACTTTTCTTTTGAAGGTTTTTGATTATCCCATTGTTTGTTTAGTTTTTCTTGACTACCTTAGGCTGCAGAAATTTCAAACAATTGGCTCTCATTATTTTCTTCAAATACTCTGAGGAAAAAGGCATTTCACAAGGGGTGAGGTCTGAGTCAGGTCAGATGAAGACAGTTTTTTAGGAATGAGGTTTTGGCAGAACTCCAGCCTTGTTCTGCCCCTTCCAGTGGCATGTAGACTCCTGGTGATTGTGGCTATTGGTTTTCAAGGTTCCTGCACAGCTGGGGAGTGGGGCATGGGAATAAGACCAAGTTATAACAGCACAAAGATCGCTGTTCTTAGCAGGATTCAACTATTTAAAAAAAAAAAAAAAAAGAAAGGCAATGTTTTCTAGAGCTCTGCAGTCTTTTGGTTAATTTCCAGGGTTCTAAAAAACTGACCATTTTTACCAATTTCTCTTTGCTTTTGTAGAGAGACTATTGGGAGGTTCTCCACCATTTTCACTGAAGTCACTCCTATATTTTTCTTTACGCCATAATTAGACATAAAATTAAATGCTAGCTGAATTAATGGAAATTCACTAAAAGCAGAATGCTTCTTTCTCTTTAGAAACTTCTCTGAATATTTCTGTACTTCTCCTGTTATGTTTTAGGACTATGATGATGGATATGGCACTGCTTATGATGAACAGAGTTATGATTCCTATGATAACAGCTATAGCACCCCAGCCCAAAGGTAAGAGTCAGTCTTTATTACAAGACCCCACAAGAGAAACCATTCCCTCACACATTCGTATATTCTGGGAAAAGTATGACAGTCAGCTAGAGAGGGTAATTTGGCTTGCCCTGTTTTAATAATTGTTTAAATGGAGAAGCACTATCTGTTCTAGCAACCAGCATGTATTACCCTACCCAAGTTTACCATAATGTTAAGGAAATCAGGCTTGGGAAATAAAAATTGAAATTTTAGTCTAAAAATTAAGTATTCAGTATATTTTCGGTGGAACAATGGCCTCAAGCTCTGTGACTTAGGAGTTATTTAGTCTTAAGGCCCAAAATTACATTGGAAATGTGTAAGTATCCTACATTGTCAGTGCCTGGAGAAGAAGGTTTAAAAGTTTTGATTCCAATTCATAGAACATTTCAATTTCTAAGCAGCAACTCTCCTGTTTTCTAACAACTTCAGACTCCTTCCTGTGAATAATGACTTAGTTGTGATTTATTTTCCAAAGAAGTATTTACCCACAAATAAGCAAATGTTACCAAAGACAAAATAGAGCTTCAAAGTTACCTCTTCTGATAATATTACCTTGATGTTCATTGATATATGAAATTAGTGTTTCTTATATTTAAAATTCTAAGTGGAAGACAATGGTATACATACACACAAAACAAAATATTGGCTTTATAGTGATTATGAACGATAAGTAAAGATGGACTATGAGGTGATTTTGATGAAAGCACAGATTCACTTTTGAACTCGTCCAGTGCAAGTTAAGCTTTGAACTCATAGGTTCTCTTATTTGTTAACTCTGGTACTAAGGTAGATAGGGATATAAAAAAACTAAGTTTTTGCTCATACCAAATTTTATTCTTCTGTAACTTGTAAGTATTGAGTAGCCTTCAAACTTTGACTCTCAACTGGTCTTTGTTGGTGGAAGCCTGTATGTTGTGTTTGTGCCCTTTAGTGTGCCGACGGTAGACCTAACACTTATGGAGCCCAGTGGCTAGTGTGTGATGAATGCTAGGTAAGACTTTGTATACACTGTCTCATTTAAGTATAACAGCAACTTTATGAAATATATGGCATTGCTTTCATTGTATACGTGAGGAAAAGGAGCACAACATTAAGTAATTTGCCAGAAATCACACAGTAAGTGGAAAGATGAAATTCTAAGTCACATATTCTAATTCAAAGACTTGTACCCTTTATAAATAAATAAGTCCTTCTGATTTCATTTAAAAACATAAATATCCACCAATATTTCAATATGTAGTTTAAATATCCTAGCAAAGCAAGTCTCCCACCCCCACAACATTTGCTGAGTGCATGCTATGTTCCTGGCACTGTTTCTGTAAGTTTTGTAAGGCCTTACAGTGTAGGTTGTCTGAACACATCGGTCCTGACAACAATCCTATAAAGCTGATGGTATTACTGTAGATGAGGAGATCAGATAACCAACAGACTCTGGCACTTGCTTGTGAGTGAACAGCTGATAAAATGGTAACTGAAGTGTGTGACTGCCAAGTGCATATTCTTACCCTGGTACATTTGTGCGAGAGTCTCACTGCACATATCTGTTAGTTCTGTTCCCATATCTGTTGTATATAGTCATGTATCATTTAATGCCTGGGATATGATCTGAGACATGCATCCTTAGGCAATTTTGTCATTGGATGAACATCATAGAGTGCACTTACACACCTACATGGTATAGCCTGCTATACCTCTGAACTGTATGGCCTACTTGCACAGCATGTTATTGTACTGAATACTTAGGCAGTGGATACACAATGGTATTTGTATATATAAACATAGAAAACCTCAGTGAAAATGTGGTATAAAAGATAAAAAGTGGTATACTCATACAGGGCACTTAACATGAATGGAGCTTGTAGGACTGGAAGTTGCTCTTAGGTGAGTCAGTGAGTGAGTGGTGAGTGACTTTGAAGGCCTAGGCCATTACTGTGCACCACCACAGCCTTTGTCAACACTATACACTTAGGCTACGCTGCATTTATTAATAAGTGTTTTTCTTTCTTCAATATTAAATTACCCTTAGCTTGCTGTAATTTCTTCACTTTATAAACCTGTAGTTTTTATTAATTTTTGACCCTTTCAGTATCCGAAACACATGAAATACTCCTGTAATAATACTTAGCTTTTGTAGTTTTTGACTCTTGTAATAATACTTAGCTTAAAGCACAAATACATTTGTACAGCTGTACAATTATATTTCCTTTCCTCATATCCTCATTCTATGTACTTTTATCTGTTTAATTTTTTTTTAACTTTTTAAACATTTTTTTTCCCTTCTGTCATCCAGGTTGGAATGCAGTGGTGTGATCTCAGTTCACTGCAACCCCTCCTTCCAGGTTCAAGGAATTCTTGTGCCTCAGCCTCCAGAGTAGCTGGGATTACAGACATGTGCCACCACACCTGGCTGATTTTTGTATTTTTAGTGGAGATGGGGTTTCACCATATTGCTCAGGCTGGTCTTAAACTCCTGGGCTCTAGCAATCTGCCCACCTTGGCCTCCAAAAGAGCTGCGATTACAGGTGTGAGTCACCACACCGGGCCTACCTTTTTATAAATTAAGACACAAACACACACATTAGCATAGACCTACATAGAGTCAGGATCATTGAGTTGTCATAGGTGATAGGAATTTTTCAGCACCATTATGATATTGGAGAGCCACCACTGTACCAGCAGTCTGCTATTGACTGAAACGTTGTTATGCAGCACATGACTGTATTCAGTGTGTGTTGGACTTTCAAATACAAGCATTTTTTTTTTACTTGAACTGTATCACAATTTAGTATGTTTACAATTTGATTCATTCTGTGGAGGAAAGAGAAGTGACTTAATATTTATTGAGTATTTAATGTGTTTCAGATACTGTACTAATGCTTTTTGTATCATTTCAGTAGATCTTCACAGGCATCAACCCAGTCCTATACAATAAATATAGTTTCCTCCAGTTAATAGATGTAGAAAACAAGATGTAACTTTTTCATGAAGTATATGTACAAGATTATCGTCCATATGATCTTTTGGTTTTTGATATTTGATATGAAGAACCAAACTTAAAGCATTTTCAGAATTAAATACTGTGATCTGTCTAGGAGAGTGATGTCAAAATGTGACTGTGGGTATGCTGGGATAACTAAGGGGAGCTAGCATTGATTTAGAGCCTGCGCCAAATCAGGCATGGAACTTAATCTGTTACTTACATGTCTTGTTTTAGTACAAATGACAACAGCAAGACTTGATATACATGATGAAACTGAGGCTCAGAGAAGTAAATGACTTATCTCAAATGGGAACCCGGGCTTCTAAAGCTCATGGTCTTTTCACTTTAAGCTCTGATTATATGTTAATATGATAGATGACAAACATTTATTCTTTGGTCATTTATTCAACCAGTGTTTATTGATGTTCATTTTATGCTAGGCATTGTGCTTGATGCTTGCAATACAAAGATTATTAAGACAGAGACTCTATCCTTGAAAAGCTTACTGGCTAGAAAGAAACAAATATAATTATTTAAAAACAATGTAATATTCTAATCATTGTGAGAGGTCTGGGGAGATTCATTGTTTTCATAAGAAGACAATAATAAATTCTGGTTGAGAATACTGTGAACATTTACCTGAGAAAGTAAAGGATAAGTAGTAGTCACCAGATGACAAACAGGGAAGAGCATTTCACAGAGGAACGCAGCAAGTCACAGAGGCATCAAACAGTAAGTTTTGTGTGGCAACTACACATAGCTTTGTAGGCTGAAACACATGACACACAGGAGCTTTGGGAGAAAGAGGTGGGGCAGGAGGAGTGATGGCATGTTTCCCCCACAAGGAGCTGAGACAGTGCCATTGAAGAGTTACATGTAAAGGTATGATGTGTTTATATTGAATTTAGAGAAATTAATTAGATGATAGTCGTGCAGGCTGGATACACAGATGATAATCCCAGAGGCAGAGACTAATTAAGATACTGATATGTTATAAATTATAAGCCCTTTAAATATCAGGAAAGACTCACTGAAAGAAACATCTTTTGTTTCAGCTAACCACCTTCTATGAAGTGATCTTTTCAGTGCTACAACTTGTCTTACCTGAAGTAATACAGAGAATTGTATGAGAAGTGCTCACACAGGCAAATGCAGAAGCCACTGCTAAATACCCTCAGTGTTCATTTAATCCTCATAACATGTAAAATAAACATCTTTTTTTAAAGAAGAAAACAGTGGCTTGCACAATTGGATAACTTGCTTAAGACTGTACAATTTGCACAAAGGAGACAAATTTTGAACTGAGGTCTGACTGTGAGCATATATTAATATCTCTTCCACTACAGTGCCCTTAGCTTGCACTAAATAGTTGCTCTTCTGTAAATTGAAAGGAAGCAGCTATTTATGACATAGGGTGAAGAAATGATTTTATGCACCAAATTAGTTTACTAAGGCTCCCATAATAAAATACTGCAGTCTTCTTGAGTCCCCTCTCCTGGGCTTGCAGATGACTACCATCTCTCCATGTCCTCACATGTTCTTTTCTCTGTGTACTTACATTTCTGGTGTCTCTGTTTGTATCTAAATTTTCATTCTTTGAAGGACACAAGTCAGATTGGATTAGAGCCGACTCTAAAGGCCTCATTTCAATTCAAATCAGCTCTTTAAAGGCATTGCCTCCAAATAGAGTCACAGTCTGAGGTACTGGATTAAGGTTTCAATATATGAGTTTGAGATGGCCAGGTATACAACTCAACAAATAAAATGCACATACTCTAACACCAGTTTAAGCACAACACTGCCTGCCTCAGAACTAGGACCTGGCATGAACCAGTGAGGATAGCGGATTTTCAGATCATCCCCAGTATCAATAGTAGATATTAACAAAGAAAGCATCATGGCCATCATCCTAGTATTTACTGTGTGCTTGGCATTATTTCATTCACTTTGCATAAATTGTCTCCCCTCTCTGCATCCGCTTCAGTGTTGCTAAATTCAA